GGGGGGGGGGGGGCGGGGCTCCCAGAGGGGCCTCCAGCAGGCCTGGCTCCGGGCCGCCCTCGGAGGTGGTCAGACCTGATCTCCGCCCCGGCTCCCACTGTCACAGTGCTGGAAACCCCAGCGCTGTCCTCCAGGCAGCCGCTGGCTCGGGGTCTGGGCTACCAGTGCCCACCAGTGCTGGGGCAGGGAGAGGGTGCCCAGCTGGCAGCAGGGGTGGGAGGGTCCCGGGTGGACAGAGACCCCAGGATGGGGGGAGCCGCAGACGGGCCACGCACTTTCCCAACCATGGCTAAGCGGTCGGTCTGTGTTGTCCAAGAGGAATGATGGGTTTCCATAAGGACTTGAAGAGCTTGCGTGCCCCCGCGAGTGTCAAGTATGTGGAGCCGAGGCGCTGACGTCTGTGATAACCCGGGGTGGCTGTGTTCTGGGCGAGAGACGTCTGCTCTGAATGCTGGGGTGTGCGTCAGGGTGGGCGTCAGGGTGTGCGTCAGGGTGGCGCGGGACTCCACCAGGAACCCCGGCCCTCACACTGAGGGTCGCCACACGTTACAGCCAGTGGACAGGCTGGGCTGCTGCGAAGTGGGCATTGGAACCAGCTTCTAAGAGTGGGGTGTTTGCACCTGTAGCTACACTGCCTGCGTCTTCTCCTAGGCTGCCCCATGCCCCTGGCCAGGTGTGTGTAAGTGGTGGGGCTCGGGCGCGAGGGAGGTGGCAGGACCAAGAAGGGCCCTCGGTCTCCCGGGGCCTCCCAACCCCTCATCACGGCGTCTTTCAGCTTCGAGGAAGTGGAGGGAACAGTGTGATGGACCCCAACTACCAGGTGCTCAGTTTCAACAGTTAAGATTTTGTCAGTGTTGTTTCATATCTCACACACATACACTGAGTGAAATTTCGCTGGCATGCCCCAGTTTGCGTCTGACGAAGACTTTTGTCTCCACACCACCATTCTTCTTATCTCACCTTAAAAATCCCATGGGAAGTTACCAAGATTGACACTTGTCATTTTGCAGAGGTGGGGCCCACCTTATCAGTCAGAAAAACCAGGGCGTCTGCCTGGAGTGCCTCTCACTCAGATGAGGCCCATTTCCCCCGCCTCGAGGTCACAGAGAGAGGTTTCTTCGTGATAATGTTTGCAATCATCAATTTCCTTAATAGGAAAAGAGCCCTACAGCTTTTCTGTTTCATCTTCTGTTTTGGCAAGTCTTGTTTTTCAAGAAGTTTTAGTATTTTGTCTAAATTGTCAAATTTCTTGGAATAAAATTATTCGCACTATTTCCTGTTATCTGTAGGATCTGTCGTGATGCCACTGCTGATCAGTCTTCCTAGGGTTTATCGCTTTTATCGATTATTCAGAGAGTCAGCTTTTGGACTTTTATTTTTACTGTTTATTTTCAATGTATTGTGGCTTTAATTTCCTCTTTTTCTACCTTCTTTTTTTCTTTTAAGATTTGTTTTTATCTATTTATTTATTTTGGCTGTGCCAGGTCTTTGCTGTGGCATGTGGGATCTTCATCGTGGCACGTGGGATCTTTTAGTTGCAACAAGTGAACTCTCAGTTGCAGCATGCGGGATCTAGCTCTCCGACCAGGGATCAAACGCGGAGTCTTACCCACTGGACCACCAGGGAAGTTCTGTTTTTTCTACCTTCTTAAGGTGGAAACTTAGGCCATTGATTTTAGACCTTTTTTCTTTTTGTCGTATCTGAAGCTATAAGTTTCCCCGTAGGTGCAAGCACACACAGACCTACAAACACACAGATGCACACACACAAATATACATACAATGCACAAGTCACAAACCAGCCACACATATGGGAACCCACTCTGTCACACACAGAGAGGCACAGAGGCACAAAGATGGAGGCCAGAGGTCCAAGCTGGTTTGGCAGGGCCGTGCTGCCTCTGAAGTTCCCAGGACCTGTCCCAGCTCTGGTGGCCTCAGGCATCCCTTGGCTTTAGATGCCGCCACCTCTGCGTCCTCACAGGGTTGTCCCGCTGTGCGTGTCTGAGGCCTGATCTTTTTCTCTTCTAAGGACACCAGTCCTATGAGATCAGGACCCACCATAAGGACCTCATCTTAACTTGATGATCTGCAAAGACCCCATTTTCAAGTAAAATCATTCACAGTTCCTGGGGTTAGGACTTGAACATCTTTTGCGGACACAGTTCAGCCTCACCTGTGGGTCTTTGCTTATGTGCTGGCGGCTATAATGCTGTATCTTCATTCTCTTTTGACCCAAAACTTAGCTGAGTTGTGGCCCTTGGAGCCTTTTTGAGTGTCCCCGGGTGCTTTGTCCAGTAGCCACTGTGAGCGCATACCTGCTTTGTGCACAGCAAGGAGCCCCGGGGTCAAGTGCACCCCGTCCCACATGGACGGCCATTTCTTCCCAGAGTCCTGGCCCCCTGGTGCGCCCCTTGCCTCTGGGTGACTCAGCACCCAGTCTGTGTGGCCCCCTCCTGCCTGTCCCAAGCGGTGGATGCAGGCTGGCGTCCCTGGCTGTTCAGAGCTCAGACGGCCTTCAGGACATGTTTTCCGGTCCAGTTCCCTGCCCCCCAGACCCGCCACTGCCCCAGCGATGCTCCTCAGGCCACGGCAGCCGCACTTGGGCGCCGTGCTCTGGCCACTAGGGAGCGCCAGCGTCACTCGGCGCCTGCAGGGACCCAGGAGCAGGGAGGGCAGGGTCCCGGGTCAGGGCCGCGGGATTTCAGGAAGCCGTGTGGCATTCCGTGGGCCCGGTGGAGACAGGGAAGCGTCAGCAAGGCTGCACGTGCAGCGTGGGGGTCACCGCGCAGGAGCCTGGCCGCCCTCGGCGTGCGGGAAGCACTGGGCGGGGTGGGGCTCCTCTGGGACCCAGGCAGCGGTGGGGCAGCTCCGCGGGGGCCCCGCCCTCCCGCTGCAGGACCGGGGCGAGGCAGCCGTGTGACAGGGCGGGCACCCTGGGCTGGCGCCCCGGTGCTGTTTGTTTACTGAACAAAGATAGTTGCTAGGGGACCGCCCGCGTCCTCAGAACAGCTCGGGGGCCCTGCTTTGCAGGGGAAGTGAGACGGCAGACCGGGTTCTTTTTATTATTTACTTGAACCTAAGACGCTCCTGAGATAAAATTACATCGAAAGTGAAAGCTGGCAGCTTGAGGGCGCGACACCCCGCCTGTGGCACCTTCTATCCTGGGGGCCCAGTGACGGCCACTGAGTGTGTGAACGACAGCGGGAATGGCCGGGTCGTCTCTGGCAAAGGCAGACGCGGGCAGGCGGGTGGGCCCACGCGTGTGCCTGTGGCAGACGCGTGACGTCTGAGGGGCCGTGGCAGCTTGGCCCGCCGCGTCTGGGTCTCGGGATCCCCCGGGCACCTGCAGGTTTAGGGGCTCTGCAGGGCTGCCCGTCAGGCTTGGGTTGGGCCCCCGGGCACCTCCACCGTGAGGCTGAGGGTCTGAGCGTGGGCTGCTGTCCCGCCGCTCTCCCTGGCGGCGGTCTCGTGTGGAGCCGAGTGTGGACGTGCGGACAGAACCCTTGGGCCACACTGGGCTCCAGCCTCCCAGCTGCCCTCCTGTCCACCCTCCTGGCCCCCGCCCCCCGGCGTCTGATGGGGACAGTCCTACTCTAGCTCCGCAGAGCAGGGCCGCACCTGGGCCGCAGTGCGACTTCCTGCCACATCTCCTGTCCCGGGCTGTGCCCCCGCCTGTGTCCTGCGCTCAGGACACGCTCCCGTCGCCTCAGCAACCACACAAACAGTGCTGCGGCAGCTGTGCCTCAGGCCTCGGGAAGCGGGCGTAGGGGCACCAGCGTGCTCGGACCTTGCTGGCATCTCCAGGTGGGACAGTGCAGGCTGGCCGCTGACCACCTGCCCACTGCCCCACACCCTGCACAGGAGCGTGGTTCAGTCTTCTGGACAGCAGGGGCGGGGAGGTCCAGGCCACAGGAAGGGCGTCCCTACGTGGCACTGAGGGATCCGGTCAGTCCCGTTCCCTGTGTAGGTCCCCCGGCCTGGCTGGTCCTCGGCTCTCTTGCCCTCACCGTGGTCTCTGCGCCCCCTGGCTGGGCCGGGCCTCTGTTGCCCCACGCCTGGCGCCCAGGGCCCTGGGTCTGCACTGGAGGCTGGAGGACAAGGGAGACCAAGCAGCTTTGGCCAGACCAGCCCCCCACTGAGGCCCGCCGTGCAGCAGGGATGCTTGGTCCAGGCAGGACCGCGCCTGTGAGCACAAGCCCCAGAGCCCCAGGGCGGCTCCACTGAGGCTGAGCCTTACAGGCAGCGCCAGCAGGCCCTGGACCCCGACGGCGGTGCAGCCTGAGAAGGACCCCAGAAGAGGGGTCTCCTTGCTCAGAGTCTGCACTGCCGGTGGGTCTCTGTACAGGCACCGTAGACCCCGTGCGCATGCGGCCTTGCCACGAGACCCTGTGGGTGGGCGGAGAGAGGCATCTCCCCACCACGCCCAGGCCGCCCTCGCAGGAGCTGGACCTGTGAACCCTTAACCCTCCCGGCTCAGACCCGTCCTGGGGAGCAGGGCAGGGCTGATGGGGAGGCCAGGCCAACACTTCCTCCCCTTCTGTTTGGTTTCCATGGGGACAGTGTGCCGGCCCCCGAAGAGGGGCTGGAGAGGCTGGGATGCGAGGAGCTGGCTTTACCCTGCGAGGCCTGGAGGGGGTGGGCCTGGGGGTCCTGGCTGCGGGCAGACAGCGAAACAGAGAGACAGAGCCAGACAGGCAGACGGCCCTGGCCCTCTCACCACAAAGGCTCACTGGGCGTACTGGAGCCCTCCCTCCTCCTCCTGATGGCACACGTGCTCAGTGCGGCCTCCCTGCCCCAAGGAGCTCCACAACCCGGCTTCGGCGCCAGGCTTGGAGCCCGCGGACGCACACAGGCCTCTCCCGCTGCCCCGGTGAAGCTCCGCTGGGGTTGCAGAGCCACGGCCTCCAGCGGGCCCTGCTCTGTCCCTCAAGGACAAAGGACTCGGGTGGGTTCTGCCGGGCACGCCGGTGCCAGAGGGGCCGCTCCCAGTCCCGGCCAGGCACAGGCTCCCGTGGCTGCCTGGGGCCTGGACACCTGGCCGCCCGGAGCAGGCCCCTCACGCGTGCCGCGCAGGCCGAGCTGTCCCTTGACGCTCCCCAGGTGACCGGCGGGATCTGCCTCTTCCATCTCTCGGTCCACCTGATTGCTCTTTCCATCGATCCGGCCGAAGCCAACGTCCGCCTCAAGAAGAACTACTCACGGTCTGTGCCGACCTTCGACCGCTCCAAACACGCACATGTCATCCAGGAGCAGTATTGTCACCTCTGCGAGGTCGCCGTGTGAGTGCCCGGCTGTGTGAGGGGCCCCCGGCGCCGTCCCGCGGTGGGGGGG